TCACGAGAGAACACGAGATTTATGCGAATTGAAGGTGTAACTATAGGTACATATACGTACCTATTTATTCCAATACGTGAGCTGTGCGCAAAAAGAACCAGTGGGAAAATCCAATTAATTACCCCCCTATCTTCATTTTTTAAATAGAAACAAATGTAGTAGAACGTGATAACAATACTTGAATAACTCCAGTGATCTGATAGGAGCAGTGGTAAAAAGAATTTTGATTACAATATCGATTGCTAAAACTTGAGCGAAAGCACGATTTTTGCTTTTTATAAATGTTGGTCAAGAGCTCATCAAGATTTCCTAAGATCGATAATTTGGTTTCTAAAATATGGATTTTGAAACGACCATTTACATTGGATACTTATGAGGAATGTGTCTTCACCTTCACTTCAAAATCTGACGTTTGCAGCACTATCAATTATTGGTTCGTGATTTTCTCGATAAGTTGATGCGGATCGATCGTTATCCAGCCGTAGATCCATGTATGGTTTTACAGGGTTTTTCAAATTCTAGTTCATATGGAGATCTGGTAAACCATAAATATGCACTTTTGAGACAATTCAGAAGAACCTGTAATGCTTTGAGGAAGTAATGGTGAGCTTGAGTGTTGAACGATTAAACACGTTCTCAATAACGTTTTCAGAATATTGCAGGAGAATGGTAGGTATGAGCGTTGCAAAAATTTAATGAGTTTTTTTCACATATACTGAATAAGCAATCAAGTTGGCTCCGCCTCTGACAATATTACGGAATTGTGAGCTTTTCTGACAGACGGTGCATGAATTTTCTTTCGAAATTTCATGCCTCATGTAGAAACAATATAGGATTCTTTTCTGTGAGTGAATTATTGAAGAGAGATATTAAATTTCAATCGAGACCGCGGATATGAACACGGGTTTGAGAATATAAAGGAGTTAATAATGCTGGGGAAAATATCGAAATGACATTTACTTGCTGAAAATCAAGCTAAAGGTATTTATTCGAAGTATTTACAGGGTTATTCTTGTATTTCCTGCAAATTAGGTAAGTGATTGACCATCCCGAAATATATTGAGGACACATTGTTGCGACGAGCTACAGGAAATTCATGAGAAATGTGCCTAATAAAATGGTGGATAGAAGAAAAAAAGACGAGCTGTTTAGTTTATTTTGCCATCCATGACAGAGAAACAGGTTTTCAGTGAAATTGACAAAACAATTAATTCGATGAACGATATTTCTGAAATGATCTGAGAAAATGATTGTTACACTCTTATATCTACAATTTTACATCAAAAAATGTGTGATCACTTTTTTCGAAAACTTTTGTCAAAATGTCAGGCTTATCACATTTCAATTTTTTTAGCATTACACCTGTCGATATGAGTGCATTAGACTCGATCAGAATAGTCATGGCACACCCAGATTGAAAATCAAAAATGGAATTAAAATGAATATTGAAGTATGAAATTTCAATTATATGATATCATTGGATCCAGGAAATACTGCAGTATTTGAAAATACAATGATATACAGGGTGTTCCTTTCGAAAATCAAAAGTTATTACAACTTTCGGTGAAAACGGAAGTGGAAAATAAAACATATGTATGTCAAAACATGACGTTTATCAAGTTAATGGGTCATTCCAAATTTCAATCACTCATCTCTTAAACTATACCTTTTCAACTTCAATTTCGGAATCGGTAAGTTATATTTCGGAAAATGTAATCTCGATTCCAGAATTGGTTAGTTCGATTCCAGAAATGGTAAGCTCAATTTCAGAATCGGTGAGATGAATTTCAGAAAAAGTCCATTCAATTTCAAAAATGGTAAGTTGTATTTCAGAATTGGTAGGTTCAATATCATGAAAAAAATCCTTATATTTGTTCGAAATGTTTCCAATTGCATGTGAGATTAACAAACCATATTTAAAATATTCAACTTTTCAAAAACAATTTAATCTACAGATGTCTTCCATCTGAATCGCTGGAAGATAGTGGCGTTGCACATGATTATAAGAATGCAAACACATTTGAGGTGTTATCATTTTCATTGAATGATCTGCACATTCTTCAAGACATCGCAGTCTGAATTCTATCTGTTTGAGCAATCTGTTCGGATCTCCAGCTATGACCCTTTGGCGATGCTCTTGCAAGAAGCTCTTCACTTCTGACTTGAAGGCACCCCATATATGTTCAAACTGATTCAACATAGGGCTCTCAAACACCGTTCCATCCACTGTAAACAATCTTCTCTTTTGCAATTAAAAACATTTCAAACATATAAAAGGATTTCATCTTCTGAAATTGAACCTACCAATAATAATTCTGAAATACAACTTACCATTTCTGAAATTGAATGGACTTTTTCTGAAATTCATCTCACCGATTCTGAAATTGAGTTTACCATTTCTGAAATCGAACTAACCCATTCTGAAATCGGGATTACTTTTTCCGAAATATAATTCACCGATTCCGAAATTGAATATCGAGATTACTTTTTCCGAAATATAACTTACCGATTCCGAAATTGAAGTTGAAAAGGTATAGTTCTGATATGGAAGGTGTACTGAGGAAAATGGGGGTATATTTTCGGTAATCATACACAAATTACAGGAAAGCAATTTCGCCTCAAGAACAATTAGCTGTAACATTACAACGTGCAACTTTCTGTTGCAATTTCTTGCGACAAACCGTCCACACCAAAACTACAACTTGTGTTTAGTTGCTGAATGTCTGCGTGTGTTTCACATCTTCCTTTGATCTTTACCGCTCCAAACCGAAACATACATCAAACATCAACATCTTGTTTACCACGACATAGTGTAACTAAACATGTTGTTGTTGCAGTCAGTTGAACTATGTTGCTTTGGTGGAGACATACCTTTAGGTATACACAGTGCCGGTTTAAGGTAATTTGCCGCCTGATGCTATATGATGGACGCGCCGCCGTTCAGACTCAAACATATTCTTTCAGGTCTTTGTTTCCCATGACACATTTTTGAAGAGATAATAAACTCTATGGGCTCGTTGGACGTTTTCTGGGATGGAAGTAAAACGGCAAACTCGCGTCCCGGGTGCCACGTACCATAAGACCGGCATAATCATATAAGCAGTGTATCTATACCATGGAAGTTCTACGCATACCAGTTTTTTTATAGAAGTTTGATGAACAAAATGAAAAATATAATATAACGAACAGGATGTTGTGTAATAGAATTAGAAAAATAATTCTTTGATGTTCACAAAATAAATGAGGAAAATGAATAGGTATATGTTCAATTGAAAAAGGAAAATCAGATCATAATAGGCAAGTACGTAACTAGGAACATGAAGTAACGATACAAAAATGTGTTTTCTTGCTTCAATGCAAGCCTTTATGTATGATACTCTTCACAAGCTCTATACATTAGTTTCATTTAGTAGATTTTATTTGAGTTGAGATAAAATTCTTAGCTCGAAAATTTCGAAATTAGATATTCAAATTGGGAAAAGAAGATATTATATCACAATATTATTCTCGTGTAGAACTTGGACTAATTCCATATTAGGAGTTTCTGCTTTAGTATCTAGGAGAGAAAATTATTTTTTTAAGATGAATAACATTCGTAAGAAAAAAATCTGTCCAGATCCTCTACATACTTACTATTTTTGTAGTTTAGTTGCCAATTTGATCAAATTTCATTCTTTTGCTGACACTATCTTGAACAGAGAGTCAAATGATTCTGAACAACATTTGTAGGTGGAAGTCCGACGAAAAATTTCAAATCTGCAACTTAGAATGAAACACCGTGTCCGCCATTTTTCTCTCTGATTTGAACTTTTTGCCGTATTTTTTCTCCAAATTGTGCTCTTCTTGGGATGATTCACTTCTCAACATAAATTTCAGTTTAGGTAGTGTAGTGATCAAATCTTTCGCGTGAAAAATCAAAATATCCAGATAATGACTGATTTTCTGATACCTTGTATTCTACCATTAATATACTATTTGCATGACGACTCGATGAAACCCTTATTCGATATTCACACAGTATATGACTCCATTATCAGTTTCCGCCCAGAAAACATGCATTGTGGTGTCGGCAAATGATTGAAAAGTCCACGGGGAAAAGCGAAGAGAATAGAGTAGGGTTTGCCAGTACAATAGATAACGGGAAAATTTTAGTTCAGTCCTTCAGTCGTGCAAACAGCTGTAAAATGAGAGGGATTTCACCCGATTTACCCAGGCAGCACAGAATATAATATTCTATGAATGTTCTTACAACGTTCACAACATATCTCCTTCAGATATTTATAGAAAATTATGAGGATGTCCTGAATGTTCATGGAATGTTTTAGGAGAATATCCATAGAACATTTCATCTAAATATCCTAGGAACGTTGTGATAATATTCCATTATATTCTATGAAAGTTATTCAGAAATGATCGTAGAATGTATTGTTCGAATATTCTAGGTATGTTCTCCAGGTATGTTCATCTAAACCAGTGATTCCCAACCGGTGGGTCGCGATGTACATATGGGGGGGGTCGCCATTATGCCCAAAAATTTTGACCAGTGCAAGTTTCAACAACAACAACATTGCAATATGTAAGCGAGTGAAATTAAAATGCGTAATATATCTTTGTCAAACAATACAATTCAGAGACGCATTTCGGATATGTCAGCAGATGTATTAGAGCAAATTTTGTCAGAAGTAAGAGCATCCCCTCTGTTTTCTTTCCAACTTGACGAGTCTACAGATGTTACTTCATGTTCCCAGTTACTTGTTTTCGTAAGATATATTCACTCTGATAATATCAAAGAAGAGTTCTTGTTTTGTAAAGCCTTAAAAACCACATCGAAGAGTGATGATGTGATGGAGATGATACGTTCGTTCTTCGAAACTAATGAGTAAAAATGGGAGAATTTGTGTGGAGTTTGTACCGATGGAGCACCAGCTATGCTCGGATCAAGGTCAGGCTTTCAGAAAAAAATCAAAGAGCTTGCACCCCAAGCAAAGGGATGGCCCTGCATGATTCACCGATTTCCCCTTGCTATTAAAACTCTCCCGGAGCCTCTGCAAGAAGTGCTCAAGTCTTTGATCAAAATCGTTAACTATATAAAATCTAGTGCTCTCAACAACCGTCTTTTCAAAGAACTCTGTGAAGACATGAACTCTGATCATGAGACTCTTCTGTTCTATACTGCTGTTCGTTGGTTGTCCAAAGGGAATGTTAGTGAACGTGTATTTGAGCTAAAGGACGAACTCAAAGCCTTCTTGGGAATGCAGGAGAAATCAGATTTTATGGAACATCTCGATAGCCCGGCTTGGATACAAAGAGTTGCTTATTTATCGGACATCTTCGGTCAGTTGAACAAGTTGTACCTGAAACTTCAGGGAAAGGACTTGCACCTCATCTATTTGAAAGATAATCTTCAAGCATTTGTGTCCAAGATTGAAAACTGGCGACGTGAAGTAAATCTTGAAAACTTTGCAATGTTTAAAAACCTGAGCACCATGGTTGAAGTATCAGAGGCAGGAATTGCGGGATTCAAAAGAGGAAATTGATCATCACCTCAAATCCCTTGAAAATGAAATTCAACGTTATTTTCCCGAACTGTCTGACCAAGAAGCTGCAGTAGTAAGGAACCCATTCCATGCCTCGTTAGATATTGCCGACGTTCCTGATGAATTGCAAGATGAATTTTTAGATCTTAAAAATGATTCCACAGCACGTGTCCCATTCCAGGAAAAAACGTTGACTGAATTTTGGTGTGCCATATATTGTTTATATCCTGATGTCGCTATGCTTTCTTTGCGGGTACTAGTACCATTTGCTTCGACCTATCTGTGAAAGTGGTTTTTCTCCAATTGGCAGCAAATATTAATTTTGCTGGCACATATCAATCAGCAAAGTATTACTTTTCCTGCCTAGGCAGCAAAGTGGGTACTTTGCTGATTGATATGTATCAGGAAAATTAATAATCCATAAATCGTTTATAATTTCCTTCATATTGCATCCGAGACTTCTCCGGCAACAAATTCAACTGTATATTTTTTGCCACCTCCCTCATTTCTGGAGGTGTAAGTACTTCCAGGTCGCTATCACTGTCCATTATATAATAATTTAAATATATCGATATTTTTTCGCACAACTGTCAGAAATTTCATGAATTGTCAAACTATAATTATTATGGATATTTCCATAGCAACCAACCATTCCAACAACTGCGATTTCTATCAAATTTTATTCTAATTGAACACTACAGGAAAAATAATGAGATATATATCATTATGAACAATCGGAGAAAAAATTATATGTTCAACTCGGCAGCAAAGTAGATTGACTGCCTTAGCTGGATTCCTAGCCTCGCTACGCTCGGCTATGAATTCAGCCTCGGCACTCAATCTACCACTTTGCTGCCTAGTTAAACAAATAACTATTTTCAACTCTTTTGCAAATTAAAACAAAGGCGAGAAATAAACTGGATGTTCAAGATGACATAAGACTGGCTTTGACACGCATTGAATATTGCACTCGGATTTCCACGGATAATTGCTATAGGTATAGATCTGTAGATGTTTAGTATTCTGGAACAGTATCCAGTATCCATGGGACCTTTCTGCTAATCAACTAGTGTACAGATTTATATTCAGGAAGAGAAACCAATAGTAAATCAATAGTATAATCAAACGTTCGATTCAAGTAAGCGAACACAGTATACGAGTAGGATATGACTTCCAGTAGTCGATTCGCTGAATAATTGATTGAACATAATTATGGGGTACATGATATATTCCGTATCGACTTCCCAACAAGAAAATTTCGTTTTTTCTCTTTGTGAGGCTATTTAATCGGGGAAATATGTATTATCTGATTGAATGGACGAAGAGAATAAAGCTAAATTACCTACCCAGAATGAATTGGGCTGCAAACTTTTTGAAATAGAATTTGGAGCATTAAAATGTGTTTCTCATCAAATTGGCTGCCGAAACAACCCTCTCAAGCTCCATAGAGGGGCTTGTACGAGTTGAGGTGACGAGTAATTTACAATTCATGAGAGTGAAATACAAAACAATCTGGCATCAGGAGAAATGGTAGCACTGGAGCCAATGAAGAATATGAAGATGAATTTCGAATATATCATCACAATATAAACAAAATAATCGTCATGAAGACGACTTCCTTTCATATACTTCTCTCCCAATGTGGAAATAGTATAGTTTAACGAGCACGAAATGATTGATAGTCATTTACAACAAAAATGCTGCAAATCATACGAGTTGGAAACAAGCATTCTGCATTCTGCATTCTGAGTTGTACACCATTATATACTTTTTCTACAGCTGTAACAAAATTTTTTTGTTTCCTCGGCTTGTAGCCATCTGATTTCCTGTTAAGTAATGCTCTATTAGACAGAGCTGTCATTGCTTGACATTTGAGATTTCTTGTGAGATGACATGACACAATGGAATGAATAGAAGATAATAAACTCGATAATAAAATTGAAGACATACAAGGTACCTCATTGATTTATCGAAAGCAGTTAAACAAGAGCAATTTTTTGTTATAGTCATAGGAAAATGTGTATCTATTGTTTTATAACAAAATACTAAACTAATTCACAAATTATTTGATAATACAGTAAAAGGAATCATATAGTAGTTTACCTAACAAGTGCGAAAAGTCGCTTTACGCACGTCTTAGGTACACTATTTTTTCTACTAGCGTGCGGAAAAAAACCAAATTCCTCTTTTCCGCACTTTAGTGTTGAAAGTTTTTTCCGCACTAGTGCAGCGATATATAAGTGATTCTTTCACCACTAAAATGAATGCGGAAAAGTGGACTTATCCGCATGCACGCTAGTAGGTAACAACATTATCATAACTGTTGTTCTTAATGAAATTCAACTTCATTTCTATTCAAACAGGACTCATATGTATGATGTATCAGGGGCGTCCGCAAGGGGGAGTGGAGGAGCCTTCTCCTCACTCATGCAGATACATTCTGAATAAAATTGGTTAGCAGTATTCAATCCCTATTCTGTTTGTCATGAGGCTTACAAATTATTCGACTTTTGGTCTAAACGAATGAAATGATCTAGATAAAAAAGCTGGTACTGAAAGTGTTCCGTCAATATCACATTGTAGGTATAATTTCAAAAACAATAATGTTAGTGCTGAAGCAGATATTTAATACTTCAGTTTAGATCATCTTTCCATCCATATTCAAAATAATTGCAAGTCTTCCTCCTACACAACTTGTACCGTGTGATGTTTTTATTTATTTTGTTTTCATTTTCATTCCCATGTTTTGATATAGAATGAACTGTCTTTTCAGTAGGTACTAATACTAAATTCTTTACCATTATATTATATTGTAACTTGCCCCTCCCTGAGATTATTTCTGCAGGCGCCTCTGTGATGTATATCATTGATTTCTCTTGAGAGCAAATATCAAATGCGAGTTTCACGAAACAAAGTCTATTGCAATTTTTCAAGCACAAACGTAAATTAGCAGCAGTGCTCTTACGATTGCTTATTTATTGCGAGGAAAATTTCCACGATTCTGTTAATTCAAATGCCAATTTCCAGAATCACTGAGGAAATGCACACATCGGTCTGAATTATCATGGATGCAGAAAATATGATTTTAATGAGAAATACGTGGATGAGATCTTGGAATTATTCCACCCATGAAAAGCATTTTCAGTCACAGTTATTGGGGCTCAAGAAACTACATATGTCCTATATATAGTAATATAATTACGTTATTATGACTTATTTCATAATTTCATAGTGGAAATGTTATTGATATTCTTATATTCATATTTAGGTTATCAGTAATTTTCACTGCGATAATTATGTTAGAAAACTTCAGTTAACAATCCTGACTGACGAGTTCCAAAAGTTACTTTCTGATTTATTTTAGATTAGGAGCCATATATTGATTGAAGTGATATCTATTCAAACATAATCAACAGCTAAGGTGTTAGAGGAACCAGATCAATAAGGAATGTTGATCTGAGATTATACAGATATTGCAAGGGGGCTTATCTCCATAGACTTATTACCCCATGTAATAAGTCTATGAATAACCCTAATAAAATAATCAGAATGTTTCTATTGGAAAAAGTATATTTTTCCAACTACGAAAAAGCCAAAATGCTCAAAGTGGAATGAAATATGCATTGCTCAGTCATTTTCACGAATGTCCATAAATTAACGAAACTGTGGTAGGTAACGAAAGAGAACCAACTCCATTCCTCACGCAGAACATTGGATTACAATAACCTCCCGAAATCTATGAAAGATTCGTATAGATAAGTGCTGAATTGTGCTTGAATTGTTCAGGAACGCTTGACTATCTACAGACCTGTTTCGAGCTTGTAGCCTCTCATCAGAGCAGGGATATCGCCAGATGGCATTCATAACCACCATCTGGTGCGCACCTGACCTAACGTAAACTAATCTAGCTGAGATATAGAGTGGGAGGGGCGTTCAAAGTGAGACAAGCTGAATATAATCTTTTTCAGTGCTATATGTAATTTCATGTCGTATAGTCGAGGGAAAGAGAATAATGAAATCGATGCATGAATACTGTACCGGGTGACACAGGGTATCGGGCCACCCCTGTAACTTCTGCTTTCGTCATCGGATTTTTCTGAAATTCGGTACAGTTATATAAGCAATTATTTCGGATTTGATCACATTACAATCCAATATGGCGGACTTCCGGTATTTCTGGAAATGCCAGCAACTTTGTTTTTTCAAATGAAACACCCTGTATATTTCTACATATTCAAGTTCAACAAGTGCAATCTTTATTTCAAATGTCATTTTTTCGAAAAAAATTAAATTAAAATTGTTTTTTCATATTACCTTGTGGAGATGTGGTCAAGACTATTCACAATGAGTCACACATAACAGAAGAACATAATTTTTTCTGAAAAATTATTTCTTGTGTCACTTATCCAGGAAACAATTCAGCCACATCACTTTTTGATCAAAAATCATTTTTTTTTTTCAAATGGAACCCCTATGGGCCACCTACCCGTTTCTCTAGAACATACATTAAGGAACAAAATGAAATATCATTTTTGTTTTTCGGTGCAGCATGGTGCAGTAACAAATTGTATACATTCAAAAATCAACAACTAGTTTATGAATTTCCTTGCAATTAGAATAATTTTTCAACTAGGTAGGCTGTGGAATAAATGACATTTGACATCAAGATTGCACTCGTTTTGACCTGTTGAACTAGAATATGTAGAAATATACAGGGTGTTCCATTTGAAAAAACAAAATTGCTGCAGTTTCCAGAAAAACCGGAAGTCCGCCATATTGGATTGTAATGTGATCAAATCCGAAATAGTTGCTTATATAACTGTACCGAATTTCAGAAAAATCCGTTGACGAATGCAGAAGTTACAGGGGTGGCCCGATAGCCTGTGTCACCCGGTATTTAAGAGTAGAATTGAGTGATGAAAATTTCAAGATGCGACTGATGGGCACCATCTGGAGAAAAGAATTAAATGGAATGAGGGTATTGTGATACATCTCTTTGA